TCCAAGCACCTTAACCCACTCCAAGCACCTATTGACCGAGCCACTCCAAGCACCTACCGACCAAGCCACCCGAAGCACCTACCAGCCAAGCCACTCCAAGCACCTACCCACCGAGCCACTCTAAGCACCTACCCACCGAGCCACTCCAAGCACCTACCTACCAAGCAACTCCAAGCACCTACCCACTGAGCCACTCCAAGCGCCTACCCACCGAGCCACTCCAAGCGCCTACCAATCGAGCCAATTTAAGCACCGTCCTACCGAGCCACTTCAAGCACCTACCCACTGAGCAGCTCCAAGCACTCCCACCCTGCCACTCCAAGTACCTATTGACCCAGTGGCTCCAAGCATCTACGGATTGAGCGACTCAAGCACCTACCGACTGAGCCAGTCCAAGCATCTACCGACGGAGCCACTCCATGCACCCACGGACCGAGCCACTCCAAGCACCTACACCCTGAGCCACTCCAAGCACCTACACCACAAACCACTCCAAGCACCTACATACAGACCCACTCCAAGCACCTTCCCACCGAGGCACTCCAAGCACCTACAGAGAGAGCCACTCCAAGCACCTACCAATCGAGCCACTCCAGGCACCTACCAACCAATCCACTCCAAGAACCTCTACCCACCGAGCCACTCGAGGCACCTACGGACTAAGCCACTCCAAACACCTTCCCACCTAGCCACTCCAAGCACCTACCAATTGAGCCACTCCATGCACCTACTCATCGAGCCACTCCAAGCACCTGTGGACAGAGCCACTCCAAGCACTTATCGACCGAGCAACTCCAAGCACCTACCCACCGAGCCACTTCAAGCACCTACCCACCGAACCACTCCGAGCACCTACCGACCCAGCCACTCCAAGCACCTACTGTCTGAGCCACTCCAAGCGCCTACCGACCGAACCACTGCATGCACCTATACCGACCGAACCACTCCAAGCACCTACTCATCGAGCCACTCCGAGCACCAACCGACTGAGCCACTCAAAGCACCTATCCACCGAGTGACTCCAAGCACCTACCGA